CGAGTAAACAACTGTAGGTCCAAACATGTTACTAGGTTTAAACTAGTACTTTTTTTTAGCAACCAAGGGGGGTTACAGAAACCAAATAACCCCCCCTGGATACGGCCCTGCAAGGATAGAGAGCATGGTTGTGAGAGCAAAGCCGATGTGTTACTGTTACGCTACATAGTTCTCAATCCTGCCATGCTCTCTATCTTTGTACCGAAAATTCTGCCATTGCAGTTTGTTGTGGCCAACAGCATCGATGGGCTCACCTGAAATTATATGTGGCGGTATGGTGGATTAAAACTCGTTTGTACATAGTTGTGAAGTTATTGCATAAAAATGCTAAGTGTGTAGGAGGCCAACAAATGATTTAGTTCATGAGGTATAGCCACTATAGGTTCCATGGATTTTAGTCATAAGAGTATCGATAAAAGTCTCATGAATGGTCAAATGTATTGATACGTGTATCGTCAAGGTACGTGTCGCGATGCATCGATATATCAATGAATAATCCCACACCTACATTTCAGTGTGTGAAGCAGCGTGGAGCTTTTATAGCTGCCCAGCCAGAATAGTGTTGCTTCTTCGGAAGGGTTACACACCGATACACCGCCGGAATAACTTTCCCCCGGGCGTAGATGGAGGGTCACGTGATGTGGCTGCACTTGTGTTAGGATTAGGGTTAGGGTCAGGGTTAGGTAGAGGGTAAGGGTTAGGGTTAGGGCTAGTGTTGCCACGTAGCGGCACCCTCCATCTACGCCCGGGGGAAAGTGACACCCATACACCGCGGGGTTGTAATCATTGCCACAGTTATCGAGTGAACTGCTCTACAGCTGGTTTAAAATGTAAATAATCATTAAAGCAGGGTGCGAAATTTACGGGAGTCTAGAGTCGAATACTCCTTGATTTACTGTTGGACTCCCTGATTTGTCATTCAGGAGTTCGTGTGACTCCTTGAAAATTCTGCCATACTAACTAGTTCGTTCCGGAGCACGGCCTCGCGGAATTACTATTAATTTTTTCAGCTAATGTTTAAAGAAAATTTGGCAGACGTGCAACTGCATGAATATTAAAAATAAGCACATGTATGCGTTATTGTTGATATCTTTAATTTTGAACCTCAGACTGCGGACTCCCTTATTTTGCTGCGGAATCCCTCTTTTTGAGGGTAGAGGGGGTCCATTGGACTCCCGTGTTCAAAAGTTAATTTCTACCCTTGGATTATTACATAAATTTTCCTCGGAGACCGTGTACAATTTCCGTGAATGGAAATGGACACAGGTTCGATATAATTAAAAATAATGTTTGTGAAAACAATCGCGATATCTGGTATGATGTGATTATTGCTGATTTACCAATGGTTAGTAATAAGCGTGTCTCCGCTTAGAATTGTTAACGTTGATAATAATAACATTTCTGATGGTTAATGTACTAATGTATTCAGCTCACGATGGAGAAGCCCTATTTACCTCCGCCCAACGGAGTTGGAGGAGGTTATGTTTTTGCTCTCGTGTGTTAGTGTGTTCGTGTGTTCGCGCGATCGATATTAGCGCGTGAGCCAGCGAGCCAGCCAGCGCAGCGAGCTAGCCAGCGCAGCGAGCTAGCCAGCGCAGCGAGCCAGCCAGCACAGCCAGCCAGCGCAGCGAGCCAGCCAGCGCAGCGAGCCAGCCAGCGCACCGAGCCAGCCAGCGCAGCGAGCCAGCCAGCGCAGCGAGCCAGCCAGCGCACCGAGCCAGCCAGCGCAGCGAGCCAGCCAGCGCAGCGAGCCAGCGAGCGTGTACGTGTGAGCAAGCAGCAGCAACGAGCGGCTGCTACGAGCGAGCGAGCGAGCAGCAAGCCAGCGTGTACATGTCAGTACGCTGGCGTATATCGTGGGTTATTCGTGTGTGCGTGAGTCGTATCGCGTATGGCGTATGGCGTATGTCGTTGGCGGAGGTATGCACTCTCCGTGAGTGCACTCTGTCTAGTTGTTTCATAAGTTAACCCCCTGCATAGTCATCTGGGTAACTTCAGTAATATTAAAGTCATAAATCACCCTGAATAAATCTTTCTGGTCACTTTTCTAGAGAAAACAAAAGTTGGGCTTTTGTCGCCAACCTGTGTTTTAGGGCAATGACCAACGTATTAGCCAGCAAGCCATGCAGCCGTGATTTGCACGGTCAGTTTTGAAACTGCATGGCCAAAAATGTGTAGCACGGCCTAAAATATTGATCTAAAGTTGTGTACATTTGTTTGCGTAAACAATATTTCACTCCCAAATATTTTTTCTGCACTCCCACAATACTCATTCCTGGCTAATACCTTTGCTATGACAGGTGCGTATACTTTGGCGGAAGAACTCGCCAGAGCATCGTTATTATGATGCTTCTCTAAACCCACGCATTTGTCTGAATAAATAAATAGTAACTTGTTCATTGGCACAGCAAGCTTGTTGTTGCCCGAGAAAGTGCACCAATCGTAGTAATTCACTCGATGGCTGGTTAGTTGGTTTCACTCGGTCACATAACATATACATATTTCAGACATGTATACATATTTAATCATAACATATGTATAGGGAAGAATAGAATTACTGAACTGTTTTGTTATGATACAGTCGTTAGGCCTAGGGATATTTGTTACCGGTAATGGTTTCCCCTGCATTGACACGAGCGAGATGGGCCGCCTCGCTTAAATTCTCAGCCGCCGCACAGAAATTTGACCAAAACACCGTCTCGCTGACGAAAATCAGTGTTCTTTCATAGAACAATGCTTATAATGCACCAAAATAGCGTAGAATGCACCAAATTGTACTATTTTTTCAAAGATTTTCGGGGGGGGGGCATTGCCCTGGACCCCCCTAGCTGGGCGAGCACCTGCGGTGCATTTGCTAGGGCCTGTGCACAAACACACCAACAATTTTTTACCACCTCACAGATCTTTTTGGCCAGGGGAAACACCGTGTATATATAGGGTTATAGTCTAGCTGTAATTCTTGCACTGGCTCACTCGCATCAGAGGTGCGAGGCATGATGTCGGCTCTTTATTACGTGTTGTGAACAGCCTCCTCTATTTCGAACTAGCGAAGCGTAATTTGCTTTTGTGCTACGCAAATTGAGCCAGTGGCGCAACGGAACTAGTGAGTGAGTGCAGTGCGCTTTGTCGACTGAAACACCTTTTGCTTTGAACACTTTTTTGTGCACGTGATTTTCTTGTAGACGTGTCATAATAGCGTAACGCGTACTTTCAGCGATGCGTTCATCCCCACCTCCTTTCCCCCTGTGTACTGGTACAGAGCAGAGTAACTACAACGCATAACGCGCGCGCACCTGATCGCGTAGTATGGAAATTACATGATGTCGAAATAAGACGAGTTTCATGAATTTGTAATAGCATGCAGCCACAGAGTAAGCAAAGAGTAGAATGGAGCTAAAGTGAAGATTGATGAGCCGTCGAGCGTACACACGAAGCGGGCTCCGAGCTGACGCGTTTCATTTCCCGTCTGTTTGTTGAAAATCACTGTCGTAGAGCGCCGCGACTGAGCTTACAAACGGTGCAGCGGCAGCAGCAGCAGCAGCAGCAGCAGCAGCAGCAGCGGTGTGGACTGCTTGCGGTTAACGCTGCCGTCACGTGCAATATTTGCGCGGGAGAGTTTACGTAAATTGCCTAATAATTATTTGACGTGAGAATTTTAGTGCTTTATGGACTCGGTCGCATGGGAATTTTCTTAATCACACTCTTTAACATTTGAAGGCGAGAAAGTGTTCATTACGGTTTTGTGCGTTTAAATGAGTCGCTAGCTATTCGTGTCGTTTGTGTTATGAATGTTCGTGCATTTCCTCTGATGCATAATGATTTAGTTTCAGTGATGAACTGCAGTGCAACTAGTCTGTGTGTAAATTATTCACCTCCTTCAGGCAACATTTAGCCATATTAGTTTTCCATAACCCCACTATCCAGACAAATCACACTGAGTGAAAATTGATTTTCACGTTCTGTACGTTAACTTTACATTTGAGGTTGTAATTATTTCACTCGCACTATACTCGACTATGTTTGACCAGCACTTGATTGTTTCGCCAATTTGGTCAGTAACCCCTTCTGTGTTGAATTAGATTAACACAAATAAGAATTCGTCCAGGGCCATCAGCTTGTTGTCAACATCTATCTATGCATTCATCCATCTGTCCTTCAATCTATCCATCAATCCGTCCGTCCGTTCATCCATCTATTCATTGGTTGATGTATATATGTGAGGTAACTGTGATGGCGACGCTACTGAAAATTTACAATAGACCAATCGACGCAAGCACGCGTTTCACGTGACTCTAACTCATCAAAATGGCAGCTTTTATGAAACTTCCATTGTAAGCAAAGAAAGGAGGCAATTTTAATCAAAATTTGGCAGAATATGCTGCATTTGAATAAACAGTATTTACCAGTCTCACTCCCAATCCAACTGTCTGTCTGTCCGCCCGTTCGTCTGCCCGTTCATTCGTCTGTCCGTCCGTCCAATCATCAGTTCATCCATTCATGGATCCATCCATTCATCTTTTGATTGATTCATTAAGTTAATCTGGAGTGATTGAAAACCAATGTATTTTACTCACCCCTAGTCTTAGCTCCAAGAAACGGTATTGCTAGGGTTACAATACCCGTATAGACAATCCGTCGCACAGCCTGGTCGGGCTACCCTAGTCTAATCTATCCAGTTGTTTGTCTGTTAATCTAACCGTTTATCTACCTAACTTTATCTTGCGGTATCCTTTGAGGAGTAAAAAACATTAATTTTGTCCCTCGATTTTGAGAAAAAGGGGAAGTATATGTGCCAAAAAAGGGGAAGTATAAATTATGTGCCAAAAAAGGGGAAGTTTGGCATTAATTTAACACGCAAAAACGCATTCAGCTCAGTTTATCGATCTGCGTTACAATAACCGATTGCCTTAAAAAAATACTATCGCGAACGTAACGTTTAACCTTTAATCAACTATTCGATAATGCAAACAACACGCGATGCCGGCATAATAATTGTGCAGTCATAACGAGTTTGACAAAATCGATGGCGTCACAGGCGCAGGTATTAGGGCGCCCGCGGTGTACGGCGCTCGCACGAGCGTGGCGGGGGACGGGTGGTCGACAATCGAAAATCGTTCTGGTGCACGCAATGACCAACGTATGCTAAATTGCTAACGAGAGCTCGGAATAGCTATAAAAGGTACCAGCGTGTGTTACTAGTATGTACCATTACTATAGGCGTGTAGTTGTAGAAGTAGTAAACGAGTAGTAGTAGTAGTAGTAGTAGTAGTAGTAGTAGTAGCAGCAGCAGCAGCAGCAGTAGCAGCAGTAGCAGCAGCAGCAGTAGTAGTAGTAG